CGGTTGAGCCTCTAGGGGCAGCTTTCTGAGTTCGGTCTAAAAACTTAGAAAGTTGGCTTAGCCCCAAAGACCTAGCTCGGTCGAACGATAAGGTTTCATTATGCTACGTTCGGACTTAGTTCGGTTCGTTTACCTCGGCTAAGGTCTATCAAGAAGTGGTTTGACTTATTCAAACTACTGGTACCAACATGGAGTGCTAGTTCGGTTAAAGTCTCTGATAGAAGGACATTGACTATAAACTACTTTTTAGTTCGGTTATATGGTAATTGTGGATCAAACACTGTTTTATAGATTACTTCATGAAGTTCATGAGGTTCTTATGAAGTTTTTCCTAGAAAACGCAAGGTGGAGCAAGAACATATGTTTTGCAAAAACAGAAACAGTGTGCCAAGAATGAGAGAAAGCAAATGCAAAGACCACAAAACAAAGTACGAAAACAAGGAAAGCAAGATAGAGGTGCAGTACTTACCTGATGAAGATCAAAGAGCTTAGAGGATGAAAGCAAAAGGCAACAGCAAAACACGAGCTCTTTCAGAAGACGAAGAACAATGAGAACTCAGAGAGAATGAAGAGGATGAATAGTAGAAGTGGGGGATTTTTGCCTTAGGATTTGTTTTTGTTAGAAAGCCCAAAATTTGGACGGGACTGTTCAAAAAACACGGAGTACGAAGACGGCGTGACAGCTGCATGGAGCCAATCAGCGTCTGCCACGTGTCATTGGAATAAGAAGCGATTCAGTTGCTGTGATTGAAGAGACGTTTTGACCGGACAGCTAGACCCCGGTGTGAATTTAGCTCGGTTGGATAGGCTAAAGGGTATTAACTCGGTTGGAAAAGCTAAAGGGTTTTAGCTCGGCTTGAAAAGCTAAAGGATTTTAGCTCGGCTGGAAAGGCTTAAAAACCTTAGCTCGGCTGATATAACAGGTAATCCCTATCATGCTACGCAGATGGAATTAAGGGTCAATTGAGAGGGTAATTTATATGAAAATTGGGCCGAGCTGGGTAATGGGCCGTCATGGGCCGCAATACGAAGGGCTGAGTAAAAAGGCTTTGAAGTTAGTCCGGTCCTAGAGCCCCGAAGCTAGTTCGGTCCGGAGGAGACTTGAAGTTACTCCGGTCTAAAGACGCTTTGAAGTTAGTCCGGTCTCAGAGTTAGCCCGGTCATGGCGTATTGTGGTTAGAACGGTCAGAACCTTACTATTCGGTAGCTCGATCTAATCACACCATGGTTTGTACATGAGAGAACCGAGATAAGGTGTAGTGAAAGGAAGAACCGAACTAAGGATAGTTCGGCCTACTCTGCGGCTCAGCATAGCCATAATTACCTCGGTCCTATTAGAAACCTACCATGATAGAACCATCTCACTTGGTTTAAGCAGTGAGGGGGTGTTGAAGGATAAGCATTATCTTTCAGAAGTATGAATCATAGAAGGACTCTACATGGAGGAGTAAAAGTCCTACTAGGATTGTGTCACACGAAACTTATAAAAGCTCACAACATCAGCTATGGAGAGGTAACACAACTTTGTTTTCTGGATACACAGAGCTTTTGTCTATTTGTCAAGCTTACTGACTTAGGCATCGGAGAGGTTTCCGGCACACACCCGCCGGCTAGCTCACGTTTGTGTTTTCAGGGAGTAAAGCGACGACGTTTGGAGGAGCGCAGACTTGATCAACAGGATTATACAAGAAGGTTTATTTCTTTCCTGTACAATAATATTTTTAGATGCACCAGTTGGCACTGGATTCTCCTATGCAAACAATTGGGAAAGCTATGTCCTTGATGATCAATTATCCGCGACAGATATACAATTTCTTGATGATAGTGGGTACAGAATTCATGCAATAATGGAAAATGATTTGGTGTTTGTTTGATCACCTGATCTTGAGCCCCAATTGAATATTTGTCATATGTTTAAGTAACAGTTGAGCACTTAATTAGTGTAAGAATGCAATTTATTTTAAACCTAGTTTTGGTTATTATGTAATTTGCAATGCTGTGGCTAATGGATCACCCACAATTTTTGTCAAATGAGCTCTACATTTCTGGCGATTCCTATTCTGGTTTGATTGTGCCTATCATTGTTCAGAAAATATATGTAGGTATGTAATCATGCTATATTACATTTCCAATACCAAAAGTTTCATACTTCTTCTCTTTTTTTTTTTTCTTCTGGTTCTTTTTTTTCTTTTAAATTACAATTTTTGTCATTATAATTTGGCTCAAATTTCACTTGTTCCTAATGTTTTTGTTTGAGTAATTGAGTCTATACACTTTAAGTTTTGTTTCAATTTAATCATTCTATCCAAATTACTGTTAACTTTCAATTTAGATGAAATAACCAAATTAAAATTAGATTTAAAATATATGAAGCACTAACAAGAATTTAAACTTTTTAGCTTGTGTTGTGTCAAACATGATTTTCCCTGTTTAATCATTTTTTTTCCCCCTTATTGCAGGCAACTTGGAAGTTGGAGTTGAGCCCCTAATTAAGCTCAAAGTAAATGATCAAATGTTTTTAAAACTAAAATAACTTTGATGTTTCATAAATAATAATGCTTCATGTATTCATATGGTTTATAGTTCAATAATCTATTTTTATTTTTATTTTTATTTTTTAAAATTGAGACGGGGATACATACTTGGGAACCCACTAACACATGAGCATGATGATCCATATTCCAGAGTTGAATTTGCTCACCGACTTGCACTTATATCGGATGGACTTTATGAGGTACTTCTCTTCCACTAAATTTAAACCAAATTAGTTTCAATTTTTTTCAAAAAAAAAAAAAAAATAATAATAATCAGAAAATCAAACCAAACAATGATTTAGATCCTTAGACCATGAAAGATATAGTGTCCGAGTTTTAATTTCCCCTAATATCTTCAGAACTCATTAGCAATTTAGCATTAATACCGTGTCCTCACAGACTAGTTCATCTCATTTTATTATTATTATTTTATCAATTTATTTTTGCTTTATTTATTTTTTTCATTTTAATCAATATCTGATATTAATGAAATTTGCATTGCTTTGTGACTTTTTTCAGTCAACAAAAACAAACTGTCACGGTGAGTATTTGGATGTAGATCCCAACAATGCACCATGTATAAAGGGTCTTCAACTTGTCACAAATGTAAGTGACTACCATTTTGGTTTTACATGAGATGATTTAGGTTAGTGGCACTTTATTGTTTATAATTTTGTTGAAATTGCACTTTTCCTCTTACAAAATAATTTTTTTACTTGCACTTTGTGGTTTTATTAAAAGGGGTAAATTATATTTTTCATTACTATAATTTGATTCAAATTTTACTTTGGTCTCTTTTATTTCAGTTCAAACAATTTGGTCTATACACTTTGGTCATGTTTGATTTACAAGACTAATAGTCAGGTACTAATAATCCTATTAAATTAGTGTGGTATTCACTATCCAATTGGATTAATAGGATAAATTATCTATTGGATTAATAATCTCACCCCTACACCATTACTAATAATCGTACAAATTTGTTAGATTAATTATCCATTGCATTAATAATCCTAAATCAAAACGTTAAAACAATCATAGGATAATTGGCCCTACGGATTAATAATCTCAATCTCATGCTCTAATCCATCAAATCAAACACGCCCTTTAAGTTCAGTTTCAGTTTGATTATTCCATCAAAATTTTCACTTATTTTTTTCTTTGTCCTAGTATAGTTTTGGAGATTGACAAATATCTCAAAACTGTTAATTTTAATCTCCAATTTGAACGAAATGACCAAACTAAAACTAGACTTAAAATATATGGACTAAATTGTTCAATTTGAAACAATAGGGACTAAAATAAAATCAGAGTTAAAAATGGTTAAAAGTGTAATTTACCCTTTTATAAAAGTACCTTGTAACATAAAATGTTGCACTCTGCACCCTATAATTTTGTATATATTACAGTTTGCATTCTTAAATTTTAAATTCATTTAGAATATATTGAAAATTAAAAATGCTGAGACAAGACTGTTAGGTGCAACTGCAACTTTTTAATTTACAGGGTGTAAAGTGCCATTAATCCGATGATTTATAATATTATTATTGTGTTTTTATTTTTTTATATTTTTTGCCATTAGTAACGAATTAATGTATCTCTGAATTTACAGTGCCTTTACAACATAGACCTTGCAAATATTCTGGAACCTAATTGTGAATTTTCTTCCCCACATTCAACTAAACTAAAATATTGGGATAGAAGTTTGATTGAAGAGAATCTTTGCATTTCCTCCTTCCACCATCACATGACAGGAAACTATGGTGCCGAGTATATCTCTCTCTCTGTCTCTCTCTCTCTCTCTCCAGACAATTGATCATATACAAAAAAAAACTGTATAATTGTAACTGGTTTATGTGTTCTCTTCTCTAGATGTATAATTATGTGCTCTCTGACATTTGGGCAAATGATGAAAGGGTTCAAAAGGCTCTTCACATCCGAAAGGTACTTTTTGATTTATAAGATTCAGAGCTGCTAAGTAACTAGAAAATTATTCCAAACAAATTTATTAAAATTGGATGATTGAAATTCATTTCAATGTGTGGGTCTTACTGTACAAGAATTAGATCTAACCTACATATCATTTTTCTAATTAAATTTCTAGTTAAATTTTCTGGGTTCTTAGACTTTCGTAAGAAGATTCAGAATTGCGGTATCTACAAGATTGTTCTAGAAAACATGTTAGATAATTGAAATTCATTTTCATGTGTGAGTTTCACCGTACAAGAATTAGATCTAACTCACACATTGTTTCATATGTATTGCTATCAATCGCAGTGTAACGGTATTGAGCATATTGAAATTAGGTGTCGCGATCATTCTAACCAGTTTATCAAATATATTGATATCAAAAGGGCAATATCCTAAAAAATATAGGTTGATATTTGAAATTTTGATATGTATGCAACTTACACTATTATTCTTTCTAGTTTACTTCTTGCATTTATTTGGTGCCCGTTATTGTGATTAGTATTTGTTCATTTTATTATTTTGTCCATAAAAAATGAATAGTTGAGGGTGGCTATTTTCTATTAAATATGTTATTTATTGATTTTATCATTTTGCTATTACAAAATAAGTACGTGACTAAGGCAGGATCATTTTTAGTTACATATCTTGGTGGTCATTATTAATTGAATAAATCTAACATAAAATACAAAATTAAAAGATAATCTGTTATAATTAAAATTATATGGATTATATTAACATCAACAATAAATCACATAGACCACTACTATAATTTGTCCAAGTATTTAAATTCAAATTAATTTTTCACTTTATTTATTTATTTTGTGGGAAAAAACAGGGATCAATAGAGAAATGGGTAAGATGTAATAAGACATTGTCCTACAATGAAGATCTCTTAACAAGCATCGAATATCACCGAAATCTCAGCCATACAGATCTCCGATCTCTAATTTACAGGTCATGTCTTTCACAACTATATTGGTATTTTCTGTAACGCCTTCAAAATAACAACATTAGACCCATCAGATAAGACATGCATTTACATATAAGCTAACCACATTCTTTTATTCATTAAAGTTCCATTACATAAGTATTACATGTTAACATCAAAACAAAATGCCCTACGGGCTTACAGCTTTCCAAGTTAACACTTGGTTACAACAAAAGAGTACTAACTCGTTTACACATTAAGCCCTTGGCTTGAAGTTACATGTAATACATCAAAAGTAAATGGTTGCCAATATATCACAGTTCTAGGAGTTGATTTTATGTCAGAAAATGTGCGGGCAATCCTTGATCAAGCTGGCTTCTTAGAGGTAGTCTTTTCCTCTTCTTTTCGTGTATTCTTATTTCATCACTTTGTCAGTTACAAATCCAATTCTAAAAGTTAACAGAGTAAAAAGTGCTACTTGGTCAACAAATATTTTAATTGAAGCATAGATTTCATATTTCAAGAACTAATAAATTAACATAATTAAAACATGAAAACCAAAATCCCATAAAATGCATGCATTGAAAACTATTAATGTGAGGTAATTAGTTTTCTATCTCTATGTATATATAATGACTATTTTAATATAATACCTTTGTTCATATAATGAGAAGGGTAAAATTGTTTTTTTAAGACTTTACATTTTTCAGGAATGTTCTGTCACTTGGTTTGTTGCACGAGGAGCAATTAACAAATAGCATTCACACAATCAGTTGGTGTGGAATCCACTTCAATGATTATATAATGGATATTTTATTTAATAGCATCGGTACCCAATTTGTATACATATCATCGGTACCCAATTTCTTGCTCACTGTAAAACTAATGAGTGTTTTTTTGAGGGGTATAAATATGTACTCTATTCTCTGTTAGTTGCAATATTGATCTTTTGCCAATACTTAACATGTGAAATTCAACGGTGCAATACTTAATTGTTGTGGTGCTATCAGATTGGTGGAGAAAGCTTGAGAATTTATAAGCGTGAGATTCAAGAAAATGTTTTGGAAATTGTTGGCATTTCCCCTGAGCAGGTGAGGAGACACTTAACAAATACTGGTTGGGTTGCTCAATTATTAATTACTAGGGCCGTGTTTTATCTCCTACGTTGTAAATTATTTTTATATTCCCATCTAATGCATTATGTAAGTACCAAATTGGAGAAAGTATCCTCTTGTATGTAGATCTTTTGAATTACCTGATATTAATATTATCATGGTTTTCATACTTCTATGGGCCAAAATTTTCATTGTACTACTAACAATCATCAATATATTTTCATGCATTGACCAATTCTTCAAGATATTAGATCACTGTGGTGTGCACACTACATTGAATTGAAACACATGTGATGTTGGCACTTTGGAAAATAGTTCCTGGCAAGTTTTGGGTAGATCACTGTGGTTTGCACACTACTTTCTGATTTTTATTTTCCAAAGCGCCAACATCACATCACATGTGTTCCAACTCCCGCTCGAGCGCAGAATGCACTCTCCCAGCACTTTTACAGAACCAGGCCTCCGCTCGAGCTCCCAACTCTACGCTCGAGCGGAACTCACACAACCCCGCTCGAGCGGCCAAACCCACGCTCGAGCGTACAACACTGCACAAGAAATACTGGATGGGTGTATTCCCCGCTCGAGCGGACAGGCCAAAAAATCTGGGCAACTAGTTTTGGTTTCTAAACTCAACCAACCTGTAACAAACCTGTCCAACACATTTTATAACTCAAATATGAAGAAAAAGGAATGTAAACAAGATAAAGAACAACTACCAACATCTACGGACCCATGTCCGGATCACTGTACAACAAGGGTAAACCCGGGATCGCTATATTTTCCAAAAGGAAAGTTGCTCAATTTTTTTATGTACTAGATTTGTGAATTTTCTTGCTTGAAAATAATGTTGAACAGGGGTTTAAATTTGTGACTATTAACAATTAATGTTTAATTTTTGCCTTTTCACAGTGGTGATCATGACATGGCAATTCCATATGTGGGTACACAAAAATGGATAGATTCTCTAGCTTTACCTGTTGACGAGGATTGGAGACCATGGTTTGTTGATGGTCATGTTGGCGGGTTAGTTCTTAGATATTTGCTAGACAGTTTTTAATCTAAATTATACTTTTCGCTCATAAATTTTAATCCGGGTTTTACTTTAATCAATGATCTTTTGATTGTAATAATTAAAAGTTTCGCATACTAATTGGTCTGGTACACCACGTTTACATACATTAATTGCAGGGTAAACCACTTCTATCTTACCATTATATCACTAATTTATTTTTTTTGAGTAAATTATAATTTTCATTTTTATAGTTCGACCGGAATTTTGTTTTAGTGTTTATTTTTCCAACATGAGGAATGTTAATCCTAAATTTTTAAGTTTCATTTCATTTTGATTTTTTTCATTTAAATTAAAAACTTTCTAAATAATTACATGATGCTAATTTGGACGAAAATATCAAATTGAAACTAAACTTAAAGTTTAGAATCAACATTGTTCAAATTAAAATAATACACTAAAATCTAATTTGGATAAAATTACATAAAGAATTACCTTCTCTTTTTTCCCTTTGTAGGTACACAATGAAGTATGTAGAGAAAGGATTTCATCTGACATTTGCAACTGTGAAGGCAAGGAAATTGTGTTGGGTTACATTTTCAAATCAATTTTCGAAATGAAAATTTCAAAAAATTTATTTGGTTTACAAATTTTGAAAAATTGTTTTCTTTTCTCTCCTTCTTTCACATCTTATACATCAATTAATCATTTTTTTTCCCTCTCCTCTCTTTCTCTCACATTTTGCATATTAATTAATCAATTTTTTTCTCACACCTATCTATTCAACTACACCAAAAATTGCAAATCATCTCAAACTATTTTCAAAATATACAACCAAACAAAATTTTAAATTTTGCAAACTCTTTTAAAAAGACTATCTTTCAAAACTGATTCTCAAAACTAAATCAAACGGAGCCTAAATACCATTTCTTAATTCTCTCCAAGAAAAAACCTAAATGAAATAAACTATATATAATATTTATGTTGTTTGTTTGGTTTTTACAGGGAGTAGGTCACACAACTCCAGAGTATAAGCCTAAAGAATGTCTTCCTATGCTTCAAAGGTGGCTTGCTTATTACAATCTTTGATATTAACACTCTCAGCATCTTCAATCCAATTCCATGTTATCTTATATTCAATTAAACTAGAGTTCCCATTAGATATCCTTTCTGTATTTGTAATAAAGAGGGTAGCATAGGAAATAAACTTATTTGACTGTTTGGTTAGCTGAATAATTAAGCTGCTTCCATTTTCGTTGGCAGCTTTTATTAGTTTGGACATAATGATGGAATAAAATAATTTGAAAAATCACATATTTATCCATGATATATTCAACAAATAATTATAAATTAAAAAAAAAGAAGAGGAAATAAATAAAATGAAGAAAAAGAGAAATATAAATTCTGTTGTGAAGTAATCTTATTTCACCTATAATAAAAAAATTGTTTTTCCACCGGCCTAAGAGTAGAAGATGGAGGCTGAAATCAAGTTTGTCAAATGTGGTTGCAACCGTTTGAAATTCACAACCTCAGCTGCATTTTCAATTAATGGTTTCACATGGCTAGCTTTATCTATATATAGCTAACGTATTTTGAGAATTCAGAGTGTGGAAGAAAGAAGAGAGTTAGAGAGTAAAACTGGGTTTTCTCTCCTCAGTGTATTCTAAATATTTGAGGGTAATAAATCTGTTTTCAGATTATAAATTCTCTCTTGTATTTGTTTTTGTGAACCACCATGAGTGGTTTGCACTCCACTCTCACCAATAGTGGTATCAAAGCACCATGAGGGTCTATTTCTTTCAAAAAACAATAGAACAGAGTATCATTTCAAATCTTGCCTAGAAATCAAAGTTGTTGAAATAAATTTTTGAACACACCAGTGCATAGGTCTCATCGAGACGATCACACTGGAAAAAACCACGTTGAAAACCGAGTCCCACAGAGCTCACACGCCCCCCACGCGCCTTCTGACGCCGTCGCCATGCGCAGAAACGCGTCCATGCGATTCCACGCATCTTCTTTGCCCGGATTTGCAGAGTCCGACTTGTCTGACATACGATCCAATCTATTAGCCAACATCCGTATCCAGGAGCTGACGTCATTGACGACGTCATTATTGACGTCATCTAAGTCGTCAAGCCGAGCCGAGCCACAAGCCGAGCTGAGCCAGCAAGCCAAGCCAAGCCAAGCCACAAGTCGAACTGAGCCGTCAAGCCGAGTCGAGCCACAAGCCGAGCTGAGCCGCAGACGAGTCGCGCTGCCAAGTCGCAGACCGAGCCAAGCCACGCCACTGACGTCACGCTGACGTCATCCGATCCGGAGAAATAATCCGCTGCTTCTCATAAGTTCCAGATTCTGCCGATCTGAACTGTTCAATTGTTTTTGCTATATCTAAGCCGTTTGAAGTCCGTTTTTGGTGATCCAATAGTGCTTCCCAACTTTTTGGAATATTCCGGACACATCTGTATGGTCAGAATTTGCAAATTCCTTTCTGAAAATTTACAGATTTCTTAAAGTCAACCAATGGCTAACACAAACAATTTCTTTCAACAAGGAGAACTATGAAAATTAAAGTATTCAAATATAAGTCCTACTAGCCTCACAAGATTTGTGAGAGTTAGTGGATTGAGGATATGACGAGCCAACTACTCTCGAAGATGAAGGAAATTTAAATGAAGCTCAAAAGATGGCGTTAAAAGATTCAAGGAAAAGAGATAAAAATGCCTTGTATCTGTTCTATCAAGGCATTGATGAGTCAAGCTTTGAGAAGATTTCAGCAACAGCAACCTCTAAAGAGGCATGGAGTATTCTTCGCAATTCACACCGTGGAATTGAGAAGACGATCAGAGTTCGACTCCAAGTGTTACGTGGCGAATTCGAGATGCTGTACATGAATAAGAATGAGTCAATTTCTAAGTACTTCAACAGAACATTGACCATTGTTAATCAGATGAGAAAATAAAAGAGAGAAGATTGTAGTTCATTCTCTGTTTTCTTTTTCAGAATTATTTGAGTGAATTTAAGTAAAGTTTGGTTCAGTGTTAATCCTCTCATTGTGAATCACCACCAGTGGTTTGCACCCCACTCCCACCAACAGTGGTATCAGAGCATGGAACCAAGTATCAAATAACACCATCCTATACGCCACAGCTGAATGGTGTTGCTGAAAAGAAGAATCGCACAATCTTAGATATGGCACGGAGCATGTTGAAAGGAAAAGGATTGCCCAAGCAATTTTGGGCTGAAGCCGTATCATGTGCTGTATATCTGCTAAATAGATGCCCAACCAAGAGCCTTCACTCTATGACTCCAGAAGAGGCTTGGAGTTCACATAAGCCAAGTGTCATCCATCTCAGAATATTTGGGTGTGTTGCATACACCAAGATTCCAAAACCAAGAAGAACCAAGCTCGATGATAAGAGAGAAAAATGTATCCTTGTCGAATATGGAGACAGAACAATGGGATACAAGTTGTATAATCCCATTACCAGAAAGGTGATCGTGAGTAGAGATGTGATATTTGAAGAAGAAGAAGCTTGGAATTGGAATCAAGATGAAGTTGTTAAAGATGCAGAACTCATTCTTGAAGATGAAACGTCAAAAGCTCCGATTGAAATCACAAGAGAAGTTCAAGATGAGCCACAAACTCCTCCACATAGAATACCTGCACCTAGATCGCCAGTTTCTCACAGAGGTGATGCAACATCATCATCATCATCATCAGATGATAGTTTTTTCAAACAACCAAGACCAATGAGAAATTTGCAAGAGATATATGAAGCAACAGAAGAACAAGATCTGAATTTATTCTGCCTACTCACAGATAGTGATCCATTTACTTTCTCAGAAGCCATCCAAGAAGATCAATGGAAAAAAGCAATGGATGAAGAAATTCATGCCATTGAGAAAAAATGACACATGGAAGCTTACTAGTCTACTGAAGGGACACAAACCCATTGGAGTGAAATGGGTATACTAGACAAAGAGGAATGCACAAGGCGAAGTGCAACGCTATAAGGCAAGATTAGTGGCAAAAGGTTACAAGCAGAAAGTTGGAATTGATTATGGAGAGGTGTTTCCTCCAGTTGCCTGGTTGGAGACTATCAGGCTAATGATTTCTTTGGCTGCCCAACACAAGTGGCAGATCTATCAACTTGATGTGAAATCTGCATTTCTCAATGGTTTTCTTGAAGAAGAAATCTATATTAAACAGCCTTCGGGGTATGTTCAGAATGGGCATGAAGACAGTGTACAAATTGAAGAAAGCACTTTATGGATTGAAGCAAGCTCCGCGTGCATGGAAAACTAGAATTGATTAGTATTTTCATAACAATGGTTTTGAAAATTGCCCATATGAGCATGCACTCTATTTGAAGAAGGAAGCTGATAGAAGCGTGTTGCTTGCTTGTCTTTATGTTGATGATCTAATTTTTATTGGAAATAATCCAACTATGTTCAAAGAATTTAAAAGAAGCATGGTCCAAGAATTTGAAATGACAGATATTGGATTAATGGCTCATTTTCTTGGCATTGAAGTGGCACAAAGAAAAGATGGAATTTTTATTTCCCAAAGTGGTTATGCTAAGGAGATTCCCAAAAGATATGGAATGAAGAATTGCAATTCAGCAAACACTCCTGTAGACAGTGGAGTGGAGCTAAAAAAAGGTACAAAGACGGGTGATGTGGATCCAACTTATTTCAAGAGCTTAGTTGGAAGTCTTCGTTATCTTACTTGCACCAGGCCAGACATACTCTATGGAGTAAGAATGATTAGCAAATATATGGAAACACCAGATCCATCACACCTTTATGCAGCAAAGAGAATTCTTCGCTACATCAAAGGTACAATCGATGATGGTTTATTTTATAAACCAACTGATAAGTTCAGTCTTGTTGGCTACTCAGATAGCGACTGGGGACGTGGCTTGGATAAATGAAAAAGTACTACGGGATTTACTTTCTTTGTGGGAGATACAGCCTTCACATGGTCGTCCAAGAAGCAAGCTATTGTGACGTTATCGACTTGTAACCAACTCAGCTGTGTGTCATGCAATTTGGCTAAGAAATGTGCTAAAGCATTTAGGATTTCCACAAGAAAATTTTACAAAAATCTACGTTGATAATCGCTCAGTAATTGCATTAGCAAAGAACCCAATTTATCATGAAAGAAGTAAGCATATTGATACCCGCTATCATTTCATCCGAGAGCATGTGAAAAAGAGAGAGGTGGAGTTACTTTCTTGCAAATCTCAAGATCAGCTTGCAGATATTTTCACAAAGCCATTGAAAAATGATCTGTTCAACAGAATGAAGAGGGGATGTTGTGAAGTAATCTTGCTTCACCTATAATAAAAAAATTGTTTTTTCATCGGCCTAAGAGTAGAAGGTGGAGGCTGAAATCAAGTTTGTCCAATGTGGTTGCAACCATTTGAAATTCACAACCTTAGCTACATTTTCATTTAATGGTTTCACATTGCTAGTTTTATCTATATATAGCTAATGTATTTTGAGAATTCAGAGTGTGGAAGAAAGAAGAGAGTTAGAGAGTAAAACTGTGTTTCCTCTCCTCAGTGTATTCTAAATATTTGAGTGTAATAAATCTGTTTTCAGATTATAAATTCTCTCTTGTATTTGTTTTTGTGAACCATCATAAGTAGTTTGCACTCCACTCTCACCAACAAATTCCACTCGTTCTTTCAAATAAGGTTTCAAATAGGGATCTATTTGAATGGTTCACTAGTTTAATTTTCATAGACAACACTAATTTTTAGTAAAAAATAATTTAAAGGATTTATTTGGACCGTTTTAGTGACCAATTTATAGTCCAACTGATTGATCTTCGTTGAACAATGTTTTTCCTATGCTATTACACTTATCTCTACTGAGATTTAACAAAATTACAATAAAATTTAAAATTTTGATATAATTTATAGGGGAATTTTTTTTAAGGTCCCTGGTATTAAGATTTTGCAGCATAAAGGACACTCAATATTTTCATAATGTCTAAGGTCCCTCAAGATGATCCAGAAAAAATTGGTCCAGAGAAAATTAGTCCAGAGAAAATTCACCTCCAGAGAAATTTCATCCAGAGAAATTCTGTACTTCCCAAAGAATTTCTCTGGGTTCAACCAAGAGAAAATTCAAATTTCTCTGGGTTCATTTTAACCAATTTTCTCCGGATTCAAATTCGAATTCAAATTTCTTTGGGTTCATTTATAAACTAGAGAAAATTCAAATTTCTCTGGAACCAAACAGCATGCAAAATCAAA